CAAGATCCCTTCCAGCCCTATGATTCTATTCTATTCCTATTCCTTTCATGATATTCTAATAGATTTCCTTCTCTTTGGCAGCAGTGCCTCGTCTCCACAACCAAGGACAAGGATTTTAAACTCAAACCTTGGCTGAGCTATTTTAATTCCCTGATTCATTGAAATAGTTAAAGGGTTCTGTCCATGTACCTGCAGAATTCCAATCTATTTTGAACAAAACAAGAGTTGAGCTTTTGAGCCCATAATCAGCAAACACATTCTCCTCTGAGATCACAATTACATACTTTGACAAGACTGAAAAAAGTACAAGAAAGGGAGACAGTGGAAAAGGTAGGTCTCTGAAATGTTCTTGGAATAGCTATGGATTATCAGCTGAGACTGTTCAAGATTGGGCCTGGCTAGTCAATCCTTCTGTTCAATAGGAGACACTGTCTAGTTTAGATTGCAGCCATATTGGGATTCACTGCATGAAAGAGAGGCATTTTGCATATGTCTACTTATTAAATTATCAGTGCACACATTCTTGCAGTTAGAGAGCTCATCAGAGCCTTAGATTTCTGATCGTTCACTCTTCTTTTTTGAATCAAACAGTAAAGTAGTTCAATAGACTATTAGTTCTTAGTTTCTTTCTGCTGCAACAAAGATATTGATAATCTAATGCAACATCGCCATCTTGTGAGGTGTCTCAAAAGTGATTGTAACCACACCAAAAGATATATTATTTCAACTTTATCATCACTCGTAATGTGCACATTTTTTCTTTTGCAGTAGTTGAAGTATTTTCATTTAGAAAAATCAACCCATAATCCCTTGGAAGGACTTAATAAGATCTTGCCCTGTGGTGAGCATCTTAAAGAAAGGCCTGTAGTTCATTGAAAAGCATATGATTTATATGCAAAAGATCCAGATGTGGTCCCTGAATCTAATCATAGGTTTGGGAAAGGTAAACAACAACAAAAGTCCTTGAGTAATAACTAGGTCCAACCCGCTTAGCTTTCTAGGATAAGCCAAAATAGTTAGATGCTGCCATCTGCTGTATCTGAGAATAGAGAACTATATCTTTAAAAAAAAAACCACAACATAGAATAAGTGAATAGCACTAAAAGGGCTTAATATTTCTCATTTTGAATTAGATAATAATTAGAAGAAAGAGCTTTAATTGAGTTCCTATGAAGAAATCTTCCTCCCAACTGGCCAGAACGCTTGAAATGTATAATGGTATGCTCTTTCTTTATCCTGTTCCTCCAGAGATTTTTTTTTTAAGTATGTTTAATTAGGAAAGAATAGATAAGCTCATAATGCAATCTTCTTTAATGCTGAATTTCACACCATGCAACCATATAAATAGAAGCCTCTTTGTGGGAGTTCAGAAGTAGGTGAAGCTGATGGATGAAGCTATAACACAGCATCTATTCAGTCTGCGCATACAGACATAGATACAGTTGCTGCAAAGGGAAGAAATTTTATTCCAAAAAGACTGCTGGGTAGGTTAAAAGCTCACCAGTAACATTCATCAAGTTTGTTGTTCTATGGTAATTATCAAAAGACTCGATGCAGAGGTAATTACTGTTGCTAATGTAAAATTAGCAATGGGGAATCAATGATTTTTAACTACAATGGCCAGAATAGAGACTAAAATCCTTCATCTCCTCCCCTAATAGGAAGAAATAGGGAAGAGAACCATCACTTTCAAGGACCATGGATTAAGAGTTGCCCGTATGTAAACTCAGTGAAATTGCTGATTGAAGTCACTTGGATGAACTTTCTGGAGATAGCTAAATTCTGGAATGCTATTGTACAATTTCATTGGTGTGCAGATAATGATTACCTCTATCCCTCCTTTTTATGTGATCCAAGAGTGCTGGTGGTTGAACAACTAAAGGCAGTCCTCAACTTATGACTGTAATGGAGCCTGGATTTTCCCTCTAAGGCAGTGGTTCTCAACCTGTGGGTCGGGACCCCATTTGGGGTCGAACGGCCATTTCATGAGGGTCACCAAACAATGCAGTCCGCCATTTTTTCCCCTTTTCCTTAGCTGTGCTACTCCCTTTTATTCTATTGGCTTTTGAAAGCCAATAGAATAGACTCTCTTGAATAGAGTCTAATTCTATTGGCTTTCAAAAGCCAGTAGGAATTGTCCAGGCTGTCTCTGCCCTGCTGAGCCCGCCAAAAGTCCCATTCTGCAAACGGTGCTGCACCAGTTGAGTAGTCCTCAACTTACGACCAGTTGAGTAATCCTCAACTTACGACCTGTTGGGGTCATGGCATTAAAAAGGTTGAGAACCACTGCTCTAAGGCATGGCAGCTGTTAAGTCTAGGCACCTACATGAGCAACCCAATGTCATGACTTTCTTTGCAACAGTCATTAAGAGAATGCCCTGGTGATTAAGTGAACACAGTATTCATTAAGCAAATGCCATGAGTGATAAGCAAATCAATATATTCCTGTGAGCATTTTTTGCTGGAAATTGTCCAAAAAGGCTAGAAACCAGCAAAGAACATCATGAATCATGGTTACATGACTTTGGAATGCTGTGACCAGCTGTAAAGTTGAGCTGATTACCAACCACCAAAAATGTGGTCATGTGACTGTGAGGTGGTATGCACCAGTCAGAACTCTGAAACTGGGTCGTACGTAGTTTTAGGGAGCTTACTCATAACTTTGAATGGTCACTAAGTGACTGATCATTAAGCAAGGACAACCGGGTATCTGGGATACTGAATAATAAGATGGGAGTGTACTATGTCAAGACGAAGCTACTCAGTGGTTTAGCTAGGTAAGGAAATAGCTCTCCAACAGGATAGCATTGTATTCCTTTAACAAGCTGGGTCACAACCAGGACATCTACTGTATGATTTTAAATGTGTTTGTTTACTTATCACAATAATATCTGGACACTTAGAAGCCTACTGGAAAATAGGATTACTGTGACTATCTTTTGAGAATGTGTTTAGAATGTCATTGTCTAATAAAAGAATATGGATTAGAGCAGGGCTTTTCAACCAGTGGTACGGGTACCACCTGTGGTACATTGCCACTTGGCAGGTGATACGCGACCATCCTAGAAAAGTGGTAGCGGGGGAAGGGAATGAGCTGAACCGGTGGCAGCACAGCACAAGCCTGAGCAAGAGATGGCTGGAGCTGCAGGGCTGTCAGGGCTCAGCGGAAGCGCTAGGATCGTGCCGCTTTCCAACTGATCAGTGCTTCTTCGGGTCTGTCAGGGCTCAGTGGAAACACCAGGATCAGCACTAGGCTCCAGCTGGAGCTCGGCGCTGATCCTGGTGCTTCTGTTGAGCCCTGAAGAAGCACCAATCAGCTGGAAAGCAGCGCTAATCCTGGCACTTCTGCTGAGCCCAGAAGAAGCGCCAATCAGCTGGAATGTTGCAGCATCTCCAGGGTCTTGTGATTTACATTCAGATGCTTGGCAATTGATTCATATTTATATGGTCACAGTGTTCCAGGGTCATGTGAAGTGACCAAAACCTGCTGCAACCACCCAGCAGATGGGGGAAATAAAAACCAAACACCCCCCACCCCACCCCCACTGCCAATCCTCAACAGAAATGCTCACAACATGGAAACCTCAGACAGGAGGAAGAGCGTGGCTGGGTGGGCAGGCAGGTGTCTTGCTCGGCTGTGCCTTGGGGGGCACTGTTTTCAGTGCCATTGTAACTTCTAAGAGTCACTAAGTGAACTGTTGTAAGTCGAGGACTACCTGTACTTTATCACTTTTTTCTTTCTTTCTTTCTTTCTTTTTTGGTCATCAGGTTTTTGACACCTTGCTAGGCGACTGATGGTACTCGGATGTTGCCATATCCTAAAAGTGGTACAATGGGTGAAAAGGTTGAAAAGCCCTGGACTAGAGTGACCTAGGTTCAAAGCAACTCAGTTTATGACTTTGGTTTTAGATTCAAAATGAGATATTAGTTTTAATGTTTAAAGCTCTAAATGTCATAAGAAGTATGATAGCTCAGAAGAAATTCCATATTCCCATTTGAATGCTGAGATATATCAAGGATACGGTATCTATGACATTCCAGATACTGCTGAACTAGAACTCCCAAAAACCTTAGCAAACCTGGTCAACGGTTTCTGATTGTAGAGTAGTGTACCTATCAGCTAATGTATCTGTGGAGCTAGAGGACAAGAGGAATGCTGTATATTCCTGGAGAACAAATCAATACTTTTGTGGGGTTGCCAGTTCCCTCTCCTTGTGATAAACTGATGAAATTTTATTGGGAACACTTTATTTCCTGGATCACAATAACCTTTTCTGAGATAGCCCTTGAAGTTTGGAATACTCAAAGCCACAATATTTGGACGCTGTCTTACATTACCTTTTATTACAGGACAAATTTTGCTCAGCCACAATTGGATGACATAATCTCTTTTAGCAGTTGTCACATCTGACTATAACCATGTTAGATATGGTGCAGAACAATTGGGAGATTTCAAACTTAAGACACTTAGTAGCAATGAGGGTTCTAATTTCAATTCAAAGCCGTACATTCAAGGACTTAATTTTCCCTTCATTTTGCTTTCAATCAATATGTCCCCATAGAAGCCACTATTTACCTTTAGGGGATATAAAATATCACATCTCTATTGTTTGTTACATGATACATTTAATAAATAGCCACATATCTCTTCCTTCCCATCCCAGATTTGAACTTATCGTGATTCTTAAACTCTAATCACTCAGTAAAACCTATTTTTCTACACATTGGGCATTTATTACTCTTTTTATTCATTATTGTATGGAATGAGATCACATGAGTGTGATGAATGATACGAGTATTCCCTGCTTTGTGAACTTTTTTGTTACTTTAAATGCCTAATTACCATTCATCTTGCAATTGTAACACTGGCAATAGCTCTCACCATCTGCAGTGCCAACACCCAGCAGGATTGTGAAGATTTATTCCTACATTTATTAGGAGCTTTACATGGAAAACAGAAGCCAAGAAACTGCTTCCTTTACAAAATAATTTTTTAAAAAGCCATATTTATCGCTGTAAAGTCATAACACAGCAGGAGTAAGTCTTCTTTGTTTGTTGTTTCTTTCTGTTTTGATTACAATTACAGCTCTCAATGTCGGATCACTAGTCTTTGTTGAGACCCTGGAAAGAGTGTAGAGAAGAGCAATAAAAATAAGAGGTCTAAAGGATAAACCATATGATAGACAGCTAAGGTAGGTCTAGCTTAGCAAAGAGAAGGGTTGGGGTGACCTAATAACTGTCTTCCAGTACTTGAGGGTCCTGCCACAGAGAAGAGAGAGTTGAATTATTCTCCAAAGCACCTGAGGGCAGGATAAGAAGCAGTGGGTGGAAACTCTTTAAATAGCGATCCAGACTAGAACTAAGGAGAAATTTCCTGACTGTAAGAGCAATTAATCAATGAAACAGTTTGCCTCCTGGAGTAGCAATAGCAATAGCACTTAGACTTGTATACCGCTTTGCAGTGCTTTAGTGGGTGCTCCATTGCTGGAGGTTTTTTTTAAAAAAAAAGATTGGACAACCATTTGTCTGTGATGGTATAAGGTCTCTGCCTTGGGCAGGAGGTTGAACTAGAAGACCTCCAACGTCTCTTCCAGCCCTGTAATTCCGTGATTTAGTAGGTATTAATTAGAGCACTAAATATATGTTCCTTACAATTTGAAAGCTAGATTAATTGAACAAAAAACATTTGTTTTAGGTTTGTTGGACATTCCAGTGGATGACAATATAACTTACTATATGACTATCTTCCTTACTTTGGGGTGAGACATAATACATTTAAAAGCATCGTAGTACGTATGTTGTGGTTATGCATAGTTCCTTTTTGTAGATATTAGTTTTATGGTGAGTCAGGTACTTTGGAGAAAGCTAAGGGTTAAAAATGTCATTACATTATTAAATTATATCCTCCAAAATTGGAATATGTCTACTTACTTTTGCCTGGAGTGTTAAAAGAAAGGTGATTAGACTTTGTGAAAGGATATATGCAGATTAGATTCTGAAAGTTGGATCAGTGAAATTTGACAACTTCCAGCTTTTGATCTGGTTCTTTATTTGTGGAAAGGCAAGATCAGACAGTATAATTCCATGTGATTTAGGTTTAATTTGATATTTCAAGACTGAACTGTAGTTATCTATACCAATATTAGTTATTCTTATATCATAGAAAAATAGAAACATCCCCCTGTATTACAGGGGTTCCCAGTTCTTTTTTTATTTTGTATTAATCATTTTACACACCCACAGAGGGAGAGAGAAAGAGAAAGTCTTATTTTGACTAGACTGAATAAATAACTAGAGGTAGTCCTCGACTTACAACCACAATTGAGCCCAAAATTTCTGTAGCTAAACAAGACATTTGTTAAGTGAGTTTTGCCCCATTTTACAACCTTTCTTGCACAGTTGTTATTAAGTGAATCACTGCAGTTGTTAAGTTAGCAAACTGGTTGTTAAATGAATCTTGCTTTCCCATTGACTTTGCTTGTCAGAAGGTCGCAAAGGTGATCACATGAATTCAGGGCACTGTGGCTGTCATAAATATGAATCAGTTGCTAAGCATCTGAATTTTGATCACGTGACCATGGGGATGTTGCAATGGTCATAAGTGTGAAAAATGGTCATAAGTCAGTTTTTTCAGTGCTGTTATTACTTTGGATGGTCACTGAATGAACTGTTGTAGGTTGAGGACTACCTGTAGTTTATCAATTCATCAGAGCAGGTTTTGTCTAGGCTTGGAACTTAGGCAGAGTTGGTAAGTACCTATCTGGAAACCACCAGAGAACAGCAGAAGTGTAGTCTAGGCTAGGCTAGGCAATACCAAAGGAATTTCACGTGACGTGTCACAACATATCACATTGCATTGCCGGCAATGGGGTGGGTGTGGCTTTGGTATAATGAAACTGGCCCACGAGCCGGCAGTTTGACACCCCTGCCTTACTCCCTTTCTTTAGCTGACATTGTGATACAAACTTTGCCTTTAAATATACATGAAATATTGTGATTCAAGTACAAAGAAGTGAAGTGAATTGAAGCTTGCAAAATGACATCAGAATTCAGGTTTTCTCATCATGTTTAGGAACATGTGCTGATATGATGTGTTTATCCATGATTAACCTTTTTAAAATAAATCTAATTTGGGGTATTCCTGGAATATGAAACAATATAATAATCATTCAAGCAGATTTACTAACAACTTTATTAAAATGCCCTTAGTTAATGTGTGTTTCAATATTTCATGCAAATATAGTCTTTATGATCACCATCAGCTTAAACATTCACTCTCTGCTTCAAACAGGCTTTCAAATGGCTAACTTGTTGGCAGACTAATCGATGCTTTTCTAGACCTAAGTGAATACAGGTGACTTTTCCCAGGCGAATGAAATGCTTATATGGGAAAATATGAATGCAGAAATGAGTTACAAGATGTGAATGAGAATAAGGTGGAGGTGAGGGGAAGATGCATGAAAGGGGTATATATGAATGGAATCACATGTTTTTTCATAAAAGAAAATTGGTTCAGGCTTTATTTAGGTGCCCTTGCCACTATTTTCATACAACTCTCCACCCTGCCATACACAATATGTTGGCCAGCAGCAAATCCATTCTCAATCAGAGCCAATACTTTGTTTTTTTTTTCATTTGGTTCTTGTGAAGGGCAATTTAACATTTGCTTTTAAAACTATTTGAAAGTAATCTTCATTAATTAAACCAAAGGAAATGGGGTCATTTTATTTTAGGTTTGAGCTGTAGTTTTCAAGTCATTTTTGCTCTCCCATTAATTATATCAACTGTGGATAAAAAATCAAGTGCAAGACCACAAAATTATGTCTGTGATTATTGTTTTTCAATTAGAAAAAAATAGTATTCTATTTTTTTATCCACATTCCTAACAGAACTTCCATTCTCTCACTGCTGGCCCTTTTTTCCTGCATTGCCAACCTCTCAGAAATTGGAGATACTAAAATCAGATAAAAGTGTTTTAATAGTCTGGCAACATATTCAAAAGAACAGAGCTGACCATGATAGTGAACTAACTGTGTACTTGAAGTTTGCACTGGATTTAATTTTTCATGTTTTCTTGGTAGAAGAAAGTCTCAGCCAAGAAAGTGAATTGGTATTGTCCATGGTACTGATTTTGGCTGACATTTAACAAAGAGGCTTCTGCTTCTGCCTTGATTTAGCTTATTTCTCCATCACAATTATTTCTAGCGCACTCTTTTTTTTCAAAGTAAAGCTTGCAATTCAAACTCCACTTACCTCAAAATATGTTCCACTGAGTTTGAAAGAAAAGGGTTTTATAATTGTACTGTGAAAATCAAAATACATGTCACTTATAAATGCATCTCTTAACAAAAGAGCAGAACAGAACATACACTGTATATGGTTAAAACAAATAACTGATTTACTGTGATTGTGTATAAAGATTTGTATGCATTTTCTCAGATATTGTCCTTGCTCCTGGTTTAGGGCACCCTCTACTGGTATTCAAAAAATTTTCAACATTTGCAAATAAGTACAATATGTTGACTATAAATATTTATCTGATTATCCTTGTTGAACTTCATTTTTCCCTCCCTTAGGCCATGTAATGAGAAACTCACACAAAGTGTTACATAATATAGTAACTGATGCAAAATGCAGAGCAAAACCTGTTGGGGATTTAACCTTACATTATCCCAATGTTTTAGTAAAGATGTTATTCAAATAACCTTTTGACGCTATTTGGTTTTAACTCAATATTACTTACCAATTGGTAGATACTAACTAGACCACTAAGTATATCAAGTTATAAATTACTGAGAATTTTTTGTAATCTTATTTATGATTTTATGCCTTGGCTTAGCACATTCACTTTCTCATTCAATTGTTACCTAGTTAAAATAAGAAATATTCTGGGTTTTTTTTTTGTCTGGAAATGAGGTTTTTTTCCCAACACTATTTACAACAATTTCAGCCAGGGGTATCAAACTGCCAGCCCATGGGCTGGATGCATCGTAGCGAAACCACACCCACCACATTGCTGGCAATGGTAAAAAAGTTGTGATACGTCGCGACACGTCAAGTGATGTTGCGAGTTTGACACCCCTGTTCTAAGCCATTTAAACCCAAGTCATTCTGACATTGCCTGATGGTTTTGAGTTTTTATGTTTAGTTTAACATTATCTTTTTTCCTGTTATCTAATGTTTCAGGTAATTCTTTGGATGAAAATTGTATTGGGAAATATTTTTGTACACAAAAAGTCAACTTGAATTTCTAGTTTCTATAAATAAAAGTTCATATGGCATCAAAAAAAACCACAGAATGATAATAAATATAATAATAATAATAAAAGTTAATTTTTTACTTTGTTATAATCCAATTGATTCTCAGTGACTTACAGTTACAATAAAGCAAAAACACAAACATATGAAAAATAAGTAAAATCTAAAACATACAGTATCAATCAAAGACGCATCACAATCCCCCAGAAGAGCTCAGACATCAACATCTTCTGGAAGATGGTGACCAAAGTAGAAGCAACTCCAACCTTAAGTGAGAGGCCATTCCAAAGTCCTGGAATTGCTCCCAGAAAACACTGCTTCTACCAATATTCCCCCGTAACCTTTCTAAAGTAGGATTACCTGATTGTCCCAGCGTGATCATAATCATTATTCTATTTGCTTCTTTTAGTCTTAGTGATGAATAGCATTAGGTAATGCTGAGTATCATACCAGACAAATCCTATTCAAAGGGGGGGGGGCAACTATAGGTACCTTTTGCATTTTAATGAAGGTTGCCATGGTCTGTTATAAAAGTACTGTCTTTGGGTCTGCAACACTGATCTCTTTTTTAGTCCTATAACACTTCAGAAATTTTTTCTGATTATGATTAAATCCTTAATACCCAAAGAGCCTCCAGAAATACAGAAAATTCCCAATTTACTGTTCTCAATAATCACACAAAATTATGTGCCTCAGGGTTCAAGCTAAATTGGCTGATCCATAATCTACCTGATTCTATGGCTGCTCTTCTATGAATAAATCTGAAGCCTGAAGCAGGCTTTCCTCATTTTCATGTAAAGACGTCATGTCTGTTCATTTAGAAATAGACATTTCTTCACCAACTGCAGAATCACATGAATAGGAACAGGCTTTGATCTAAATTTATATTCAGATTATAAACCATGAATGTTCTAATCATTGTCTTTCACCTGCCTTGCTTCCAGATCAAGAGTTTAGTATTTAAAAAAATAATAATAAGTATTTCATTTATTATTGCTGACATATAATTCAAAACCTATATTTCTAGGACAATGCTTCTCCATCTTGTAGAAATTGTTATGCTGTAATAATATTTTGTTGATACCTTGTACATTTTGTTGATAAATTCATTGGAATAAATTAAAGTATGTGTTTAGGATATAGTATATGTGCTCGGATTGCTGTCTAATTGCTATGAGACTTTTACAAACAATGTCATTACTAAGATTTTGTTGTTGTTAACATCTCCTACCTGATATGAAAACAAGTATGTTGTTTCATAGATCTTCTTTCTTAAATAAGTTTGATAAAAATGCCAAAGAATAGCCAGCTGCATTTTACAAACATTTAAAATAACTATATAAAATAATAGCAATTCTATCATCATGGGTAGACAAACAAATAAGGAAATATAGGTAAGCTAAATGGTTTTTTTGTTGTTCAATCATGTCTGATTCTTGGAGACTGCCTGGACAAGTCCTTGCAGTTTTCTTAGCAAAGTTTTTCAGAAATGGTTTGCCATTGCCTCCTTCCTAGGACTGAGAGAAAGTGATTGGCCTCTGTGCATGCACCAAATGGTAAATAAATTCTTAATATGAGTAATATTTAGGAATAGAAAATTATATAGAAAATATAATTGAAAAAGACACTTAAAATGAACAGATGTGAAGGCATACACAAGTTCAATTATAGCCCTTGTTTTAAAACATGAACTCCCATGCTTTTAAAGTTAAAATGAGATGAGTGAGTGTTCATTTAACTGGAATATCCTCATATTTTCCAATCTTTTATTTGCTAATCTACAATAACAAAACAAAGTGTGACCAACATTGTACTAGGGTTGGTTACAAGATCTGTGCTGCACAAATACAAAAGGCCATTAAAGAGCAAAAATGTCTTTTTGCATCCCTTTGTCATCTATTGGTTATCTGAATTTTTGCCATCTAGATAATATAGCATAAAACATACCGTCTTCGTATTTTGGAAACAGAAAGGTTTAGTCTGGCTCTTCCTGGCTTAACTACTTCATTATCTTTACACTGATGCTGCAATCCTATTGAAAGGCATTCCATAGCACAAATCCATCCTTAGGACTTTGAAAGAGACAACCTATGGATCATCATTAGTCATTATTTCTTTACCTAAAAAGATAAACAGAATGATTATGGGCAGACAAAAAGAACCAGTGGGTGTGATTTCTGACTTCCTGACAGCTTCCCCGTTGACTTGGAAGCTGGCATGGAATGTCAGAAATCATGATCACATTATTGTGGCTGATTGCAGTAAAATTTCAATTCCATTGGAGTAAAGGGTCCCAAATTTTGCATTTGAGTTACTTTGATTCAAAAACTGTTGATATATGATACACCATTCTGGCTAATTGAAAATTACAAACATATGGGGGAGGTAGTGTGTAAAGTAATTTATTTACAGCCAGATCATTCATACTGACGTTCCTTTTGCTTATGGTGGTGGCGCAGTGGTTAGAATGTAGTAAGTACTTCAGGTCACTGCCAGGAGTTCGATCATGACCAGCTCAAGGCTGACTTCCATCTTTCTGAGGTCAGTAAAATGAAGACCCAGATTGTTGAGGGCAATATGCTGACATTTGTAAAGAGAGTGCTATAAAGCACTGTGGAGCAATATATAAGTCTAGGTGCCATTGCTATTGCTATTGTTGAAGTGTTTTCTTTTTATATTGTGCTGAATTGTTCATATTTAAAATGAGGTAATATGATCAACCGTTGATAGAATTGTCAGTAAATCACTATCAGGCCTGGAATATAATCTCTTTCCTTAGGGGCTACAATTTCCAAAACATTTTATATATTTAAAGTTATTAATGGAAGAGGATTTCTCACATATTCAAGCATATTGGAATATGAATCCCTTTCCTTATCAGAATGCTCTGATGAAAACTTATTTGAAAATTCAAAATAAGTGAAACAACTGAAAATGTATACACAACACTGAGATTTTATTCAAAGTAAAAACATTGCACTGTTTTTTATGTCCATAAGATGGCATTGCAGAAAATAAAATATTGAAACTAGTTACTATTGTTTGTGTTGTATTTAATACGATACAGAAAAACTAATTAAGAGCTTTTCTTGGCTACTGAATGGGCCATGTAGATATATTTTAAGATCGTAAAATATCAAGCATGGTGTACATATGTATGAAGTTTTGTCAGAGTAATCTGCAGCACTGACAAAAACCTAGCCAGAAAGAATTTGAGTTATCCCATAATTTGTTGGCAATATGGTTTACCAATACTAAATTCATAGACAAAACAGGGATACAATAGCCTCTTCAAGTCTGTCTTTAAAGTATCAATACTTGGGGTCTCAGTTTAACAATAGAGGGGAAAGTTATATAGACAGAATGATAACTCTAGAAAATGATGCTAAATATTCTTACTTCTGAAATAAGCACAGTAATTAAGCATTGGGTAACTATTTAGTTTTTTAAAAGTATAAGAAGTAACTGAGTTTTTCAGCCTTTGCTGAAACATTTGCTATAATGTTTATTTTTGAGTGTGGTTACCGAATCTTGGTGACTTGATATATTTGAAAAAAAATGATTCTGGAATGAATACCAATTTACATAGAATTCTGCCCTGCTGGTTGCCATTAATCCCTTGCCACAGGAGGAAATTTTGTTTCCTGTGGAACCAAAGTCAAGTCTGCAAGACTGAAAAGAAAGCTGGTTGTCCTCTATTTTGACTATTTGTTACATTTAAATCTCTGATGAAGCTGGGAGGCATTATGAAAGAATGTGACTCAGTCTTGCAGCAAATCATTTTGCCTATTGCAAGTAGTCCTCCATTTACTACCACAATGGAGCCCCAAATTTCCATTGCTAAGCAAGACAGTTGTTAAGTGAGTTGTCTCCCATTTTATGAACTTTTTGCCACAGTTGTTAGAAACACCACGGTTGTTAACTGAATCATGTGGTTGTTAAGTGAATCTGGTGTCCCTCTTGACTTTGCCTGTCAGAAGCCAGCTGGGAAAGTTACAAATGGTGATCACATGACCATGGGATCATGCAACTATCATACATACATGCCAGTTAGCAAGCACCCAAATTTCAATCAGGTGACCATGGTTGTAAGTCTGAAACTGATCATATGTCCACTGCATGAATGGTTATAAGTTGAGGACTAACTACCATGTTTTCCCCAAAATAAGACCGGATCTTATATTAATTTTTGCTCCAAAAGACACATTAGGGCTTATTTTCCAGTTAGTTCTTATTTTCGGGGAAATACAATACTAAATGCATCCATCTGGCTGATGATCTTAACTGGGGTTTATTTTGGGGGTGGGACTTATATTACAAGCATCCTGAAAAATCATGCTAGGGCTGTCATGGTTCCGATAGATGAAACCAATTAAAGCAGAACTCCGAGGCTTGAGTTTTCCTCCAAGAACATGTTTATTGGCTACAAAGTATCGGCACGATCAAAAGTGAAACCAAGATTAAAGTTCCCTCCCAAAAGTTACAGTATTACAAAGTTAAACTTCCCACCCCAAGAAACTACCGTGTTTCCCAAAACTAAGGCCTGGTCTTACTTTTTTTTTTTTTTTTTTTGCTTGCAAAAGAGGCACGAGGTCTTAATTTCAGAGAACGTCTTACCTTAGGACCACCACAGCCTGGCCTCCCACACCCTGACACCTGTCATGCCACTGCTTGACTTCTTCTGCGGACACTTGCCGCCACTTGCGGCCAGATACTATGTGGTGCATTGCACCATTTCCGCTCCTCCCGGCAGGACATGGTATGGCACTTCGGGCCATTTCTGCTGCTCGTAGCAAGAAGCCGCATACTGCTTTGGGCTATTTCTGCTGCTCGCAGCAGGACACCGCATGGCACTTCGGGCCACTTCTGCTGCTCGTGGCAAGACACCACATGGCACTTTAGGCCATTTCTGCTGCTCGTGGCAAGAAGCCGCATGCCACTTCGGGCTATTTCTGCTGCTCGCAGCAAGACACCGCACGGCACTTCGGGCCATTTCTGCTGCTCATGGTAGGATGCGCGTGGCTCTTTGGGCCATTTCTGCCAGCAGAAACGGCCCAAAGAGCCACATGGTGTGCTGCCGCAAGCAGCAGAAATGGCACAAAACACCATGTAACATCCTGCTGGGAGGAGCGGAAATGGTGCACAGCACCATGCAGCATCCTGCTGCGAGCAGAGGAAACAGACCAAAGCACCATGCGGCTTCTTGCCACGAGCAGCAGAAATGGCGCAAAGCACCATGTGGTGTCCTGCTGTGAGCAGCAGCAATGGCTTGAAGCACTGTTCAACCTACTGCCACGAGCGGTGGCCTGGCTGCGGCAGTCCTATCGGTAAGGTAAGTGGGTGCGTGGCATGTGGGGCTTCACGCCCCCCCCACCACCCCTTGCCCTAACTTGATTTTTAAGCATGTGCCTTGCCCCAAAACTATGGGTTTTTTTGGAGTAGGGCTTATATTAGGCCCACCCCCAAAAATCAAGCTAAGGCTTACTTTTTGGCTGTGTCTTACTTTTGGAAAACATGGTATGCAATCAACTATGTTTCCCAATAGAACAGTTTGGCAGGCTTTCTAACATTAGGCTCAACCCCCAGTCTAACGAACAGAAATGACCTTGATTCCCACAGGACAGAGAAATGTTTAGACTAGCATAAAACTCCCCATTCCTGTGGCAACTGAAAATGAGCAAGATGGCTTCAGCCAGGTTCGTTGCAAAGGTTTATTTTCCAGTTGGATGTTATTTTCAGGGAAACACGGTACACTAAATTGCAAGCTAACCTGAAATCTTATTTGCTGTAAGTTAAGACTGGACATCTTACTATTAAAATTCATCCAAAATTTCTTCTTGGTCATCTTACCTTTTAATGTTCTATAATTTCCCCAAGACCTGGATTTGTCTTCAGGCCTGGAGATCCAGAAATATCTTAAGATGACTTTGGTATTGTGTTTAATTTACTCTCTTCTGTACAGGATGGTTGTATTTTAATAAAGTTTTTAAACAATTGTTTTTATTTATTGTTTTATTCCAACAGTAATACACCAGAGTCACTTTGTGTGAACTAATTTATATGGGCAATAATATAAGTATACTAAATAAATAACTAGAACCAAAAATATACAAAGTACTCAGTGATGCACTCACAAATCCAAAGTAGAGCTCCAGATTTCTTCATCTCTGGGTCTGCTAGTTTGAAGAAAGAGTACAGGTGAGACCCAGTGTAATACAGTGGCAAAGTTGTTTGACAGGGCAGGGAAAAATCATGATTCAAATCCTCACTTATTGATTTTGGGCCACTTAAATTGTTTCTCTCCAAAAGCTACTTGTTTCTTGAAATGGAAAGCCCTATCAATGATAATTCATATGACTTATGACTACTTGGCTGAATTGATGCAAGGTAATTTATATGATGTTGCCTCTGAGGATTACCTGAAATTTTAATTGATTCAAAACTCAGCAACCTAATGGTGAATGCAATCATTAACCCTGCATTGCATTGGTTACCAATAGGTTCTGAGAGCAATGCAGTGCTAGATACAATTCAAAATATTAACCTACAAAACTGCCTTCTCTACTTAGAAACTGTGCTCCCCAACAAAATCTATTATTCCTACAGCACCATGAACTAAAGGGAGCAGAAGCTTGAGCTACATACATGGAAACTAATCAAGGAGAGAAGCAACCTAGAACTAAAGAGAAACTTCCTAACAGTTAGAACAATTAATCAGTGGAACAACCTGCCTCCAGAAGCGGTGAATGCTCCAACACTAGAAGTTTTTAAGAAGAGACTGGACAGCCATTTGTCTGAAATGGTACAGGGTTTCCTGCCTGAGCAGGGGGTTAATAACCTCCAAGGTTCCTTCCAACTTTATTATTATTATTATTATTAGTAGTAGTAGTAGTAGTAGTAGTAGTAGTAGTAGTAGTAGAAGATTAGTATTAGTATTAATATTACATATGTAATAGTTGTAATTCCTCTGCTTTGGAATTTGGTAAAACTTGAATTTCTTTTGCAAAGTAATTGGAGGTCAAGGGGGACCGCCATCTGCTTTCTGTTGGGAATCTTATGTGATGATACCATGGTGATATGATTAATTT